GAACTCTCATACACTGCTGGTGGGAGTGCAAACTGGTGCAGCCACTATGGAAAACAGTATGGAGATTCCTCAAAAAATCAAGGATAGAACTACCATATGGTTGCTTTTAAATTTCCATTTTTTGTGGATGGTTTTGTTGTTCGTCTATTTTTTTTTTTTTTTGCTGTTTTTCTGCTGTTCATTTTTTATTTTACCTCGTGGTTAGAGAACACAGTCTATTTGGTTTATCCCTTTTTTGTAACTTATTGAGTTTTTTTATATCAGGTCCAATTAATTGATATTTTCCCTATATATTTGTGTTTGCAAATAATGTGAATTCCATTTGTTGAGTACATATTTCTCTCTCTCACTTTAACTATAATCATGTTAATTTTACTATTAAATATCTCTATATTATTACATATCTTGTTGAACTTCCTGAAGTTTTTAAATGATTCTTAGCTATGTTATTGGATGTTGGGCTGCCCCAAGAGAGACTAACAGGGAACACTGAATATAAGCTGACCCTATGGTTCAATTCCTAATTATACTAGAATAGATGTGGAGGCTGCTGTTTGTTCTAGAAAAAAATTGCAGGGACACACAGGTATAGAGGTAGGATTAACCTTTAAGAGCAATAGCTCATGAAATGAAAATGAAGCATTTGACCTCAGCAAGCAGAATCTCAAGGCAATGGTTTTGGCATGGGCACTGCTAGAACTCTGGATATTTCTAGCAGCAGTGGCACTGCTGGTAAAAGTCATGGTTTATAGGGTCATATATTTTTTTTTTTTGAATGTTTATAGCAGCTTCATTCACAATCACCAAAAACTGTAAACAATTAAGATATCCTTCAAGAGTGGAAGGACAAACAAACACAATACAACATACACTGGAATACCATTCAGTGATCAAAAAAATGAACTACTAATGCATGCAACAACCTGGATGAATTGTTGGTTTGCTTTGTTTTGTTTTTGTTTCTGTTTTACTAAAACTTTATTTTTTAGAGTAATTTTAGGTTCACAGCAAAATTAAGAGGAAGGTACAGAGATTTCCCATATACCCTCTGCCCCCACCTGCATACAGCCTCTTCCACTACCAACATCCCTCACCAGAGTGGTACAAATGTTAAAACTGATGAACCAACGTTGATACATCATAATCACCCAAAAGCCATAGTTTACATTAGGGTTTATTTTGGTGTTGTACATTCTATGGGCTTGGATAAATATATAATGACACGTATCCATCAATATGATATCATACAGAGTATTTTCACTGCCCTAAAAATCCTCTGTGCCCCACCTATTCAACCCTACCCCCTAGCCTAACCTCTGGCAACCACTGATCTTTTTACTGTCTTCATAGTTTTCCCTTTTCCAGGATGTCATATAGTTGGAGTCATGTATGTAGCCTTTCAGATTTGCTTCTTTCACTTAGTAATATGTATTTAAGGTGGCTCCATGTCTTTTCATGGCTTAATAGCTCATTTCTTTAAGTGCTGAATAATATTCCATTGTCTGTATGTACCACAGTTTATCCTTTCATCTACTGAAAGACATCATGGATGCTTCCAAGTTTTGGCAATTATGAATAAAGCTGCCATAAACATTTGTGTGCAAGTTTTTATGTGTACATAAGTTTTCAACTCCTTTGGGTAAATACCAAGGAGTGTGATTGCTAGATTGTATGATAAGAGTACGTTTAGTTTTGTTAGAAATCGCCAACCATCTTCCAATGTGGCTACACCATTTTGCATTCCAACCAACAATGAATGAGAGTTCCTCCACATCCTCACCATTATTTGGTGTTGTCAGTCTTCTGTATTTTGGCCATTCTAATAGGTGTGTACTGGTACCTCATTGTTGTTGTTGTTGTTGTTTTTTTAATTGATGTTTTAATGGTTTCTAACATTGTGAAATTTTGGGTTGTACATTTTTGTTTGTCCATCACCATATATATGACTCCCTTCACCCCTTGTGCCCACCCCCCACCCCCAGTGCCCCTGGTAACCACAGTCCAGTTTTCTCTGTCCATGTGTTGGTTTATATT